TATAATGTATACACGGATATATCAAGGTATTTGCAGATTTTTTATGTATTATGTATATAATAATAACACGTGTTTATGTATCAGTTTTAATTTTGTAATTTATGGTATCGATATCCATGTTTTTACCATGACGTTTTCTTCTATATCAGGCCGTACATTATAGGTATTACACCACGATATACATGCATTGCTTTTAAAGTGTCGTTGCAGTCGTTGAACCCACTTGTATTTATTTTTCTAACCGTCGCACGTTGTGCTGTATGGCCAACACGCCACCCACGACACGTCGTCTATTCGAACTAGYGGTTGTAAATTGAAACGACCATCGCTCGTTCTCGAAAAACGTACGCTAATAATACCATAGTTATACGCTGTCCTGTGTCTATCTAATTTATTATAAATTTATAACATGTAGTAGGTACTGTTACCTGATAGGTACATAAGGTGTATGACGTATGAGACGCGACTGTTCGTAGTCATCTTTCCGATCGTTTGCATTTCGGACGGATGACAGACGTGGCGGTGACCGAATGATAAATCGTGCTTTCGCCTCGTGCTTCGTAATATTATAGGTACGCGCCAGCGATGGTTAGATAGTATCGACGCGCCGCCAAGGATCCCGACCCTACATCGTAGTCACACTTGCCTTAGTTGATTGATTACAACCAAACGATGTTATGTCGTCGCTCCGCAGTTCGGATCGATGCGTATTTTATACGTATAATATAATTTATTATAATTTATTAATATTCCACTTGTATTCTATAATTTATTTTAATATAATTAGGTTTGGGAACTTGATGCACCCTACAAAAAATATTTTTTTAAATATTTCCGATTCACCATTAACTGTTCACCTGTTTAAGTGAAATTACCTACTATTTTTTTTTCAAAAAATTACGCATTTCTATTCTTGTTGCAAGGTATAACAATATACATAATATCTTATAAATTAGTCTTGGACCTAATAAAAATATTTTATTGACTGTTATTAATACTATACAGATGTTATTTTGTCGTTGCCTGTTGTGTAGCAACTGTTGCATATGTTACTCATAATATTTTTTTCTATTCATCCGTTTTAGTACTGTAGGATCCAGTCGTAACATCTCTTTTATTTTACTTTCGCTGTGTTATATGTCGTTTAGTCAATAGTGTACTATTTCTCGCGAGAGAAGATAACATTCACAGATCTGAAACGTTTATATATTTTAATTTTTATCAGTATTTTAATAGTTCGTAGTTTATAATATTACATTAAATTAAACAATACCGTTAAATGTTAATATGGTTGATGTTTAGCTTGTCTTATTTGAACGTCGTTGAAGAAATATTTCTTGAATCACATTAGGCATATTAATTAGTGTAGTGTAATTATTGTACACGAATACGATAGAACTATATTATGAAGAGTATTCAGTGATATATAATATATATATCCTATTATAGGTATGTGTCCGACTTCTTATATGAATAACGTCATCATTTAACGAGTTCCGCATACAGTATACGCATATACATAATATATATAATAATTATATATACTGAGAAGCTTTAACTTAATATCACGATTACGTTATAGTGTTATACCAGTTTTTCTTTGTAGCAGTGGGCCGCCGCGGCTGCTGCGGTCTCCTTATAGTATGGTTATTATGCCGCGGTCGAAATGGCAGAGTTAACGTCAAGTTCTTATCTTTCTCTTCTATAGCATCAGTATTCAGTGGTCATTATATTATTAGACGCCTACGTATTTAATGTGTTGCATTCATCAAGAAAATATCGTATACTCTTATACTTATCGCAGTGGCTATTATTTAAAAAAAATCTTATAGATATTTTGATAAAATTTGACAGTTGATAAGGGCTCATACCGCTCGGTAGTATCGTATCTTTTAATTGGGCCATATATAAATGGTCAGAGTCTTTTTTGTATAGGATTAACCGAAAACAGTTGTGCTGTTTCACAATAATATTTTATATCATTTCTTCTTAACCTTTATGTTATATACCTTACATATGTTAATATGTTATCTAATGTATAATAATGTATAATAGTATAGTTGAGAATAAAAGCGATTTGCCTTATTTGGAAATATATTAGTTGTATTAATGTTTTACACGTTTTATTACTTCTTGATAATTGTGTATTATAATCTTAGTTATATTCTAAATTAATGGCGGCGATGGACCATAGTATAGGTAGGTATTATAAATGTGTTCGATTTAGTTAATCCCAGAAACTACATTCAGTTTAAGCCTGTTTTATCGAAGTGTGCTTGTTCTTTGCTGTATTTTATTAAATTTGCTTAGTTTTAGGTTATAAATTGAATTAAAAAATTTTATTTTTCGTCTCGTCTAAGAAAAATAAAATAGGTATTGTTATACTAAAGTGATATCGACGAAGAATAAAAACAAGTAAGAAAAATAATAATACGTATCAATATACATACGATTTAAATATTAATATTATGAGGTAGTTAGTGTAATATTTGTGCGAAACCATTTCAACTTAATTCAAATAGCTGCTATGGCAGTGTGTTGTGTTGTTCTATTTTTATTTTTATTTAAAATATCGTTTWAGAAATTAAATATCTGGCAACAAATGCCATTCCAGTATAATATAATATTATTTCCAAACTTGAATCTACACATTATAATATACAAATTGCATTTTAATTGTAAATATTTATATACACCTCGTGTATAAATAAATGTACATATTTAAGACTAGTTATTTATAACAAAAATAACAAACATTTTTTTACATTAATTGYAAGTTAGAGTTAAACTATAATAATCAGAAAAAATATATCTAATATATAAATGATATATTTTGTGAAATTTAAATGACTCAAAGATTTTGTTTGTATTTGTAGTTAGTATAGTTTGTATAGTTCGCAGTTATTGTTTGTTTCTATTTGTAACTAAGAATGTGCATAAGTAAGATAATATGATTGTACCAGTATGGTGTGGGTGTCGTATGTTGTACTTACGTAGAATTATGACTGAATGAAGAGAAGTGTGATGGGGTTATTTTGAAATAAAAGCTTAAAAAGGGGATATTTTTATACTGTGATGAGTGTCGATTGGGCCTCTGTAATGGATGTATTTGAATTTAATTTTATAAAATCATTGTATTATATGAAAAACGGTCTGTCAGTTATTATTACTAAGTATATTTTATAATATTATTGTTATATTAGTAATGTATAAAATATATTTTATACATATATCTAATAATATTTTAACGATATAAATAGCTAAAATTCATCATAATATTTTTTTTATAATGTTCAGAAAATGTTACCTAACTAAACAATTGCGAGTATCTATAATTTCAAGTATCTACAGTTATCTGTGTTGGTGTTACTTTGTAGTTTGTTCAAAGTCGAATAAATCAAGTCACAATAGTTTAACTCAAAAGATACTCAAAATACATACTAGATAAGACAAAATAATTTCAAACTAATTTATCATAATGTGTTTGCACATCATTGTTAGTAAAAGTTGTGTTGTGTATTCACATAATATAGTGTATTATGGTAGGTATATTAAAAATAAAAATCTAAGGGACATTTTGCACAGGATATTTTTGAACTAAAAGTTTCGAGTGAGCATGCCAAATTTAAATTCCAAATGAAAAGAAATCATTGTAATACATTATTATTATTATTTGCATATTGTAGGTATAATATTCCTTTACTATTTCAAATTTAAGTGATAAAACTTTTAAGAACCGTTCAACTGTGGAATATGACACCTTGCTGTTGATTATGTAAGTCAATTGTGTGTTGATACAGTGAATGATCCGTGTTTAATGGCACATTATATTCGTGATTAAAATATTTCGTTGTTAGAATAAAATTATTGGAATGAAATGCTCGAAAGTTTGACGCCATTATTTATTCGTCGATGATATATTAAAGTATTCGTGATGTACAAATAAAACTGTCAACATATAGTTGKTGAAATGCTTTGTGTTGGCAGTTAATTAAAATTTCAACAAATAATATTATATATATACATATATGAATAGTTGGAACTGGTTTCTCTATACGAACTTTTAGCATATACCTATCTTCGATGTGTTTATAGTATAGACGTGGTGTTGTTCAAGTAGGTACGCAATTTCTCTACATTTACTCGTATAATAATTTACTGTCCAGGATAATATGGGTAGTTATATATGTAACCGATGCCGTTTATGCGATAAAAYCCGTTGAATTTATTTTATCAGTCGATACTTAAATTACTGTACACGATGCATCTATAATTTGTGTTATTGTAATAGATCTCGTCTCCCAATATGTTGATGACATTTGAATATTCTTTTATTTTTTCGGAATATTCAACATAACGATTTGTATAAGTACTGCTACAGTTTGTTCTCATTGTTTTAGAATTTATTCTAAACGTTGCAACGTTTTGGTTCGTGTTTTTTTWAAAAAATTTTGTGGTTTTAAGAACAAATATTCTGGAGGATTTTTCTACATAGGGAATCATTGTTAGGTAAATTCATTGCGTTCGATCATATCATATTATATTTTATGGATATCGATATATAATCTGTTCACGATAAGTGTGTGTATTATAGACGAGGGAGCTGGTCTTCTTCTATAGAAACACACGCTCACAACGGAGATGATAGTCGTGATGGCAATGAGAAAAGAGAAGAGAGAAGTTAGACAGAGAGAGAGACTGTTGGACTGAGAAAAAGAAGAAAACAAAACAACGGTACTTTCTATAAGAAATAAAGATCCGTGTATTCATTATATACGAGATTATATTATTATGTATGTCCGTGTGTGCGGGTGGATGAGGTGATAGGTGGCTGGTAGAAAGTAGTGGAGGTGGTGGTGRTGGCGGTGGCGGTGTGGCGGTCTCCTAGTAAACCACGACGGCGGCAGTCGTATACAACGCACACAAACACAACCGGTTTGCCGCCGCCGCCGAAGAATTCTTCGCGCGAATCCAATTCTATAATAGTGGTCGTGCGTGCCCGAGGGGGTGTCGACCGGCGGCGTTGTTGATCGTTGGGAAAAACTCATCGCTTGGGCGAAATTCATACCGCTGCAGTCCGCGGACCTATCCGCGCCGCGTATCTACACGGATTTTTATTTGTCGCCAAACGGTCGGCTGTTGTGCGAAAAGTCCAGTGTCCGTGACCGGATTAATAGTGTTTCGCCAACGAATAATACTACATACCAAATAGACATCAAATTAGGTTTGTTTAAAACTTTTTCTTTAAATAAACTCTCATCCGCTGTTGTTATGTCGAATAATAGTACTAATTATTGTTTTTACACACCATCATTCTTTATAACCTGGTATATAAAGCGTATTTTTTCTGGTTTTATGTGTTGTATATAATTTATAACGTTTTGTGAGCGTATTTATAGTTTGCTTCGGCTGTGCTCAGTAGGTATCATATTTAAATATTGTCCTGTGAAGTTAATAATACTGATATTAATTATTATTTTATATCCAGGACTGTGAATCAATTGATTTTTATATCTATGGATTCAATTATGAATTATTAATCAGTGAGAAACACATTTGATTCAAGACATTAATCTAAATACGAAATTGAATTATGTATTTTTTAGACATCAACATTCAACACGTAGTATGAATATAAATTGTTTATATTTTCTTATTCCATATTCAAGAAAAAAATTGTTGACTTGGTGGTGGTATGCCTATATGCCCCCCTATAATTAATGTTTTAATATAAAAAGGTCAATATCAATTACAAAATATCATATTTTTAATATTTTTCATACATTCTTTCAAAAACAATTTTTTTTCTTCATACTTAACATTTATTTAAATATTTTTTATTATTTTATTAAATTATTTACATATTATAACCTTTCCAACATATATGTCGTATCCACTTAGTGTAATCGTATTTTTCATGAAATGGATATCCATTTCATGAACTACGATCATATCGTGTAAGTCAAATTTTAGTTCATGAAATGGACATATATTTTATYCATTTCATKWMATGAAAACTCTTATTTTACACTTTGTGTAATATTTTAAATTAATAACATCAATAATAGCTAATTTTTCGTAAAATTGAAATCTTTAAATATTACATATTTTATTAATCTCTTATTTGTTATGAAAAAATAAAATCAGTTTAAATTAAGTTTACTTTTTAATCTATTACATTATTATAATTATTTATAATAATAATAAAAATAAAAATAAATTATAAATTATATAAATATAAATAATTATAATAATCATCATAATAATATGATTTATATAAATAATAAATTATTACTTATTTTTACAAATATTAGTG